TATATTGATTTTCATGTAATGTTAACAGATTGGGAATTGTATTATCACGAACAGGTGTTTTAGAAATGTACAAGGAGGAGGATATCAAATTTTCGATTTTAGGTTAATAAACTATAATACCGAAGCTTGGTCAACATAAGCCAATATAACATTCCTGATAATAGAATTTAAATGAGATTTTTTCTTTTGATTTTTATCAAATGGGTAAGTAAACCAGCTGGATTATGATATAGACAAATCAACAACTTAACATTCTATATAGTATTTTTCTCGAAATTTGACTATTTTGGTTAGGTTTCAAAAGTTCTATAACTAATCTTGACAATTTTGATATAGAAGAAATCGACGTCCAACGAAATTAATATAATCACCGGCATTAATAAGTTAGATCAAGTAAAATTTATTAGGATTTGTTATTTAGAAACAATACTAATGTTTGAATACAAAATATTTGTTCGAAAAGCATGCGAAAAATATTGAATACAAAATATTTGTTCGAAAAGCATGCGAAAAATATGATATGATATAATATCAAGGATATTAACTAATCTTTTATTTATTAAATAGTGATTATATAGCAAACATAAATCAAGAATTTGGTTGTTTGATTTTTGGTATCCAACGTGTGTGGTAGCTAAGCCTCATAAGCTGCTTGTTCTTATTTTTATTTTGTTGTCAACAAAGCTGGTTGATTTTTATCTCCTCTTTGGAGATAATATTAATATCAACTAAATTATTAGCTACTTGTCGTTGATTTATATAAAGATTAGTATTATTATCATATATACATCCAAATATATTATATATATATATACATCCAAATTCAAATGTATGCAAAAGAAATAACACATTAATCGAACCATCTTAATTGTTACTATTCCCTGGTAAACACCTATGGAGTTTATTTTGTCGTAATGCACACTTTGCCCAACGTGGATGTATTTCAATAAATGAAGAATAAAACTGTGTCCCAATAAATCACCCACTATTTAATTTGATATTCTTATACAGTAGTATATTTCTTCATATGGAATGTTTAAATTCAAGTACCGTCGACAAACAAAAGAAAATGAAAAAGAGGAATGTTTAATCACTGTTAGTCTTTTTTTTTTTTTTTTTTTTAATCACTGTTAGTAATATTACCATTGATAATTTTCATTTTCCAGTGATGTCTGTCCTTCTTTTCATTTTTCCTTACATTCCTAATTTATTTTTGAGACTATAACATAAGTAATGTGATAAAGCAATGATGAAATATATAGTATGTTACTGATATATTCTAAGTTATGCGTTCTGTTATACTGTATCTGTATATTAGCAAAACATCACTACTTACTATTCGCTACAAGCCTACAACTGTCTTAATGATCCGCGCGTCCTGATTTAAAGACACGACTCTCGTTTGTTCAGAAGACGTAAATTTATTAGAAACTAATCATTTTCCATTTAAACAAAATTATGCTATTTACCTAAAAAAATGGTCAACAATTTGTGTGTTGCTTTCTCTCCCACGGTCAATATTAATATGTGCTTGTAACTATTTTCATAATGATCTACCAAACAAATCAATGACTTTAAAGCAAAATTCCATGCAAAAGTTAAAGAAGTCAAAAGTATTTCTTCCTCCAACATGGCTGATTGATTTTTCATTAAAAAATTGGGTTAGAAACTTAGAATCGTTGAAGCTGGTGATGAAAAGGCTCCATCCATTACCGGAATATTCACCTGAACAATTTTTTACTAATGGTTTGTTTTGAAGTCTTGATATTCATACAGCTGATGTTTATAATTAATCGGTTTACGCTAAAAACAATTACATTTGAAGGTATAACTACTGCACTAAGTGTTTTTTTTTTTGTGTTTTTTGTTGTACTACCTATCACATTGTATATTATGTTGCATTAACTTTTTTTTTAAGTAAAGTATTGAAACATGTTATTATCTTCGTTCTGAAAAAATTATAGCTCACAAAATTATATATAAGATTCATTTCTCATTTTAATGTGTGAAACTCTGAAAATAATATTTCAGTGTGAAAGCATTGGAAGGGGTTGGTGAACTTCATTTCTTCGCGGGGGGCCGCCAGAGGGCTGCTAATAAGTCTTGTTTCTGTATATTTTTGTTATTCATCCTTTTATTGATTTTGTCTCCTCTCGAGAAAAATTCGTCCCTCTTATTCGTTTCTCAAAATACATGATTGGAGTATTACTCTAAATGTCTATAGAATCAGAGTTTCCTACTTGCTAGCTAGTAATTGTGCATCGTACAAACAAATAGTTTTACCTTTTAGTAGTTGTTAGGCAACAGTTTCTTTCAGTCATGACTTATCAGTCATGAGAGAGGTTATGATTAAAATTTCTCCAAATTAGGTAATAACACACAAAGATACATAGATTCATATATATATATATATATATATATATATATATATATATATATATTCAAGAACTATTAAGTTAATAATTTACTATCCCATAAGTCTTAAATTTATAGGTTTCTTTTTATTTGTCTCAAATTTATAGGTCAGTTGAGAAAAGAATTGACGATTGTGAAATGCACTACATGTACAAATCTTAGTAGGTTTTGACTACTGACTATTAGAGCAAGACCCATCGAAGTTTATTTTGGTTTATGGAAATTTTTTTTTTTTGATATATATATATTTTTTAGATCTTTTAACTTTGCTTACTTTCTTATTTTTTCACAAATCAAGTTTTTTTTTCCATAAAAATGCATGCATCTCTTTTTCTTCTTTAATGGATGAAACAAATAGTTCAATAATCCCCTAAAGTTAGTATTTGGTCCTGCTAAACAACAAATATATGAACAATGGTTGATAACATAAAAGAATATGTTAATCACCGACTATGAAAAGTATACATATATAACCTAAAAAGACATTACCTCAATCTCATTAACCTTTTCTTCGTAAAAATGGCCAATATTGAAAAAGAATCATGAAGGTGGATAGAAAAACGTGTAGCATGTACATTTTACTTTGTTTATTAAAAGTAAAATCGTTTTTGAAAAAAAGTTGAAAAAGGAAACTAAAACACATTCGTCTACGGTTGTATTTTGACAAGCGACATCCAAACTTAGCCATACATTGTAATGAACAGGTTTAAATAAGTATTAATAGAATCAAATTTTAAGTGTATATGAATAAGTGATTGGAATCCGAAGAAGTTTAAGTTGTTTTTTAAAAAAATATATAACTTTCCAGCTTCGGTATCAAGTGTGAATTAGAACTCTATGATTGAGGAGACGACTCAACGAATTAAAATATGTTTATCTTGAATGCTAACGATTTAAAATATTTGTTCCAAACTAGTGGCTACTATACAAAATTATGTCAACGATATTTTAGATATATGGAGACTAGGCGTATTTGTTTATTAACCTCAGCAGTAAATGTGGATAAACATCGTGAAGGCTATGGACCTATGGTTATTGACTCCTTATGAGCACGTTGCTGCATTTCGTAGGAAACATTTAATTGTTAGAGGACAAAACTTACTTCGCATTTTCTTGGTTCTTGCCGATCTATTACTCCTTCCGATTCGTTTTACTTGTCGTTTTACAGTTAAAATTTTATTTCATAATAGTTGTCGTTTTAGGTTTTCGATGCAAATGTTTGGTGAAAATTCCAGTTTTATCCCTACTGTTTTACTGTTTCTACCAATGAATTTTTTTAATAAAATATATTAATAAAAGGTAAAACAGAAAATTTAATGTTTTTCTTAATTTGTGTGAAAAAATCTTAAACGACAACTAAAACGAAACGGAGAGAGTATGATTTCTTAAAAATCTATAGTAAAAAACATCTTAAGGAATTAAGGATGTGTGTTATGTGATCAGCTTATCTTAAAGAAACAAATTACGTCTCTAAAATCACAAACTATTGCTCCTAAGTAAACAAAAAAAACGAATTGATGTAATGTTAAGAAAGTTCAAGTTAACTCTTTAATAAAAAAACATTAGTAATCAAGTGGATGTTGCTCTAGTTGAGTTTCCGTATTGGTGTTGGACCTTTAGTTTGAATTTTAATTGGAGTAGTTTCACGAAACCTCAACGGAAAAATGTATGAGCTTCGGTTTAGAATTATTCGCTGTTAATCCCAAATTTTTACCAAAACAAAAAAAAATCTATTGATGATGAAGAGTTAATATTGTTTTTGTAAGTGAAGATTCGGAATGTAAATTAGAAAAATAAAAGAAGATGAATGTTATAGTATTTATTTTAGGAATATTTAATCGAACAGCTTTAATTTACATATAGTGAGACCGCAAATATCTTATTAGTTTTGGCTAAAAATAGGACCGGTAGAGTATATTATACTGCCATCAAAATCTGACTGGTTTTATTTTAAGTCGAAATTAGGAAATTAATCCACAACCTCGAAAGCAATCACGTCTCTTTTCTTTTCCATGTGTACTTTTTTTTTTTTGGTATGAGAGGGGGAGACAAGTCTCCCACCATTTATTTAAAACTGAAAAGCAAATTACACTCTAACAAATCTAGGAGTTGCAGATCCTCGAGCGTCTTCAGAAAGAATCGAGTTCATCAACTCCGGTCGTCCTTGAAACATGTGAAAACCCAAAGGTAACGAAAACGCATAGTTCGCCAATCCGTCGGCTAGACGATTGGCCTCTTTATACACGTGAGAAATACGGACACACTAGTTCTTTTCCATGTGTACTACTACTACATAAAGTTTACACAGCCAGACAATAAATGCAAGACGATAACATTACATAATTCGGACCACCAAAAGATCTATTAAAACTTATCTCAACTATTATTCACAAGTCTTCCCAAACTATGCCAAAAAAAAACAAAGTCTTCCTCGTCTACAGCACTTCCAAACACGTCTTCAAATAATACATATAAACAAAAATTATTGAAAGACAACAAAGAGGAGACAAAAGGAGAGGAGGAATACAAGTCAATAATATGAACTGAGAAAGACAAAAGTTCAAACAAAGGCTTCATGGAGAAAGTAGAGCAAATATAGTTTTATTGATACTACTAGCCATTGCTAAATCCTCTTTCATAGTGTACCAAGAATGTATCCACATCTAAAACCAAGCGTTTTGTAATGAACATTTGAAATCAACAACACAACTTATAACACGACATATGAGCTTGAAATCTAGGAAGGGAACATAAACAGTTTCTATAAACTCATATGCTACACTCTCTGCAAATCTTTGTTTCTCTAGACTCATGTTGCTTCAAGGATACAACAACTAATGTCATGTGCGATTTCATAGAGATTATACTTGAAAAGGGAGGATGTATCTTTCCGCCAGACGAGATACAACAAATTACCATTTGTTTGACGTACCACAATGTCCCTGAGTCATCACCTTCTTCCTCGTTGTCCTGGTCTTGAACCTGGTTTTCTAGAAAACTGGAGCCGCAGGAACTTGGAATCAGACTCGTTTTCGTCCATTCGATAGCCTGTGAAAGGTATTAGTTTTTAAAGAACATTAGATTCAGAGCATAGATGATGGAGTTTATAATTTAGGGATTAGAGCAATAGTTTTTGTGGCATTGAGATTTAAAGTTCACGCTATAGCACAATGAGTAATGGTATGAGGTGTAGGCTTTGAAATTTTCGAAACTGAACTCAATGTATAACAGTATGTATTACTCAAAAGACAATCCAACAGAAAAAGATCCAAACTATATAAACAAACTTACAATGCATGTGATTCAAAAGCCAGGAAAACAATATTTAAAGTGGCAAGAGATTTTGAGATGCTTATCATTTTTACCTTGTAAGGCGCTCAAAGCAGTCGCTGCACAGGCAGGGTTTGTAAAATCAACAAAACAAAGAACAATAGGATCTCCGTTCCGCTGCATTGCCCATAAATATGAACCCATTAGCAGGTTTATCAAAGTAATTACTTTCTATGACAAGCGATTTTCAGCAATATCCAAACTTTTAAAGTAGGAAACTTACATGTTTGGAGTCTTTGGTCACAAGTCTCACTTCTCTGTATCCTACAAAAGGTCGAAATATATCTAGACATCGGTTAAGGACACTGAAGAGAAATAGTTTCTGTTAATATTGGTTTCATAGAAAGAAAAACTTGTTATGTTCCATCAAGTAGGATACGAGCTACTTCCCTCCTTGAGCAATTAGAAGGAAGTCCTTCAACATATAAAGTGTTGGATGCATCTGGAGGTAAAGGAAGTGTCTCTCGGTTACGCCTACCAACAGATTCTGGTGGATCAAAACCAATGGCCTGCCCATTTGGACCATAGTCTAGAGGGAGAACTCCACCACGTCTCATCATAAAATCATCTACGGTTTGACCATTACCTCCTCCTCCTCCTCCTGGTCTTCCCATGGAAACAGAACCACCTTCTCCTGATTGCAAAGAAGATGTTTGCTTCACCAAAAAAAAAAAAAAGGAAAAACATTTCAGGCCAATAAAGAAAGAAGAATGAACAGAAAACTTGCAATATGAATCAACAAGAAAGAATGGTACCACGCTCTGGAGATAGCGATCGTAAGCTGAACCGATAGTTCTGGTATCGGGAACATCGAGATCCTCATCCCGCGGATAATAACCACCACCGTGCCCTGTAGCCATTGTTGATGGTGGAGCTTCTACAAGACGGCAAAACATTGAATTCACACTAGCATTGTCTCTTTCAAGCAAACTAGGAGCATATGTGGAAGGAGCTTACCGAAATCGGAACGGGGACGTTTCGGAGGACCACTAGGAAGATGATGTTGCTGTCGCTGCTGGTTCCAGTACCCATCCGCCATGGAAATCGAAGGATCAGAAGGAAAAATTAAGGGAACAAAAAAAAAACCCTAATTTCGATGAATAGCTTCGATTCTATCTGGATTTGAATAGAAGAAAACCCTAGCTTGCTTGTTCTTCTGCTCCGAAGCACTCTCGAAATCAAATTTTTTATCAAATCTCTTTTGATTCAATCAATTTGTTGCGTCTCGATTTCGAAATTTCTGATTCTTTTGTCTTAAAGATCCGAATCTCGACGACCCGGCCCGTTTTATGACAACAGATCTCAATTTCCGCGATGGTTTTAACGGGTTGCTATATCACTGATTTTTAGGCCCATTTAATTGATTGATTTCGTGGGCCTATATGACCTGGATTCAATTATCCAACTTCTGATTTTAAGATGTCCACAAAAATATTACTGTCTATAAATTAGATTTTCGCACATTATGGTCATGTTAGTTTTGCTTAGTAAGTAATCAACAACTTAATCATTTCCATTAACCAGAAACTAAAATGTGCAATTTCCTTTTTAACTAAGAAATTCTGAACCTAAATCAGTACATCCCCTCATGCTAGAGACTAGAGTATTTTATATGGTTTCCTCTCGAACCTGCGATCTAAGAATATTTACCAATTGAGCTATTAACACTTGGTAATATGCAAACTTTTAGTCGCTAGTTATTAAGTACTAACCTATTACCTATCACTAGACTAGCAAAAAAAAACTATGAAATGAAGAGGGCCTATAAATATGTAGCCTGAAGATCAGTGAAGTGTGAATCACGGATTGTTGTACGTGTATATATATGCTTTCTTTAGGAGTAACGATAAAATACTTTGATGCTGTCTTGGAGTATTTATGATTGTGTCATTTGCTGACATGCAAAATCACAATGAATGAACTCTGAATACGTAAATTAATAGTTCACAAACAAAAAAAAAAAGTATATGTAAACATATAAACGATGAATAAAAACAGAATTATGATATTATAACAGGTTAATATAAATGTAGGAAATGAAGAGATGGACCCATACACAACAACAAGCAACAAAAGTAAGTAGGTTTCCATGTTTCCTTGGACCTTTCCTTTTTAATCATTATTCATTTTATTTCTCTAAAGTTTAATCATACAATCTATAATCGCTTCATCTTTTTTTTTTTTGTTAAAAGATATTCAAATCTCTTCATCTTAGTAATTACTTTAATTGTATAAAAAATTTCCACTCCAAAACTTTCTTGTAGATTATACTGTATTAATAAGAAAAACTATATATATAGATACTTTCATTAACATTATATATATACATGTAATTTTGTTTTAACACACATATATATACATAACTATCTATATGATCTGTATTAGTTTCTTGAAACGATATTGTCAAGTGGTATTCATGTGATTTCACGTTTCAATTAACTTCAACATTTGCAACGTTTGATGTGAAATCCAAAATATTATTCGTCTTATTCATTAAAATGTTATTTTTAAGTCTACTTATATATAGATAATATAATATTCATGTACATTTGATTTAGACTTAGAACTAAACATTTCGAATAATATAGTATTAATATCATCTATATATGTATGGAAAATTGAACAGCTTTTGTGTCTTGATACTTGGGCATGCATCATCCAATCCAAGGTTTCTATTTGCTTTTACAATGTCGAGACGAGCTAGATCCTATGTAATTATGTATTGCTACCAAACAAATCACATTCATATATGAATATTCGCTAATAACCAGTTAACCACTAACTATTTTGTTTTGTCGGTGAATCAAGGATAACACAAATAAAGAATCATATAACAATGATAAATAAAATAAGGAAGAAGATGGAGAAAAAGGGAGATGCACTAAGGGATTATTGTTTTCACCAAAAGTGGATACATTCTCCTCGACTAACTCCCCGAAAATGTGGAGGGAAGCACCAGACCAAACGGACCCACCTACCTCCCCGTAGGGGTAATTTTGTCTTTTCATAGCAAACGGCAACCAACATTCAACGTAGCTGCGCCAAAAGAATACACCCTCTCTCCTCGTAAATTACCATTATAGCCCCAATCTCATCGCCTGAACTTGTTAGACCGGACAAACTAAACCGGCCAGCTCAGATTGTAATTTAACTCGCACGAATCAAAACCGGAATTACACTCTTCAAAAACTAGTTTAGTAATTTATGCTAAGGATATTTGAAAATAGATTACCAGTGAAAGTATAATGGTAAGGAATCTATACAATGATATTAAAAGTAATCAAATCAAGAAAGTCAATACTATTCACATATAAACAAATACTAATATGTACTCTCATTCTCAATAAACAAATGCTGCATATATATAAGCTAATTAATTGAATAAGAACTCAATGTATTAATCATATATTTAAACAAATACCAGTTTCTTCAGCAAACAAATGATGCACATAGCAAAATGAAAGTGGTTTCGAGAACACAAAAGAATCATGAATTGGTTAATTTACTATGAAAATTAATCATCTAATTTGAAACCTAAATATTTAGATATATGGTGGTTGAAACCATCCATATATAATAGTCGTGTAAAAGTGTTGTGTTTCTGTTGATTAGCCAATAAGCTTCTACTTTTTATACAAAGCATTAACTTAACAAACAACTTCTTTTACATATACGAAATCTAACAATTAAATCACAATGAAATGAAGTAGGACGAGCTAAAATGTAATAACATGTAGCTTATCAGATTGAAGAGAGAAAACAATTAGTTCTAAAACAGAGAATATGATATGTTTCTTCTCCCATTCCCATACCAAAGAAAAAGACTCTTAAAAAATAAAAACAAATTAAGTTCGAATGTACTGCTACTGCATGGGGAACGCCTCTTCACTTTTTTTCTTTTGTTCTTTTTCTTTTTTTCCTAGCATCAATAGGGTATATTGTACTATATTTTTATTTAAAGTATAAAATACTCCCTCCGTTTTATAATATAAGGCGTTTTGGGTAAAGTATTTTGTTTTACAATAAAAGTTGTTTTCGAGTTTCAATGCAAATTATATATTATTTTAATATTTTATAATTATTTATATTATGCAGTCTCTTTTATGATTGGTTGAACTTTTAAAAAGTAGATCTTCTTAATCGGCGTGTTTTTACCTAAAACGACTTATATTTTGAAACGGAGAGAGTAGTATAAATTGATTTTAAGAAGATAAAGAAAAATAGAATAAAGTATATATTTATTAATAACTCCAAGAAAAAAAACTGTTTCCTTTTTTATATTTATATAGATTTAATTTTGTGGTAAAATAAAAATTTACCGACTAGTGTCTGTGACTCCGTCTTCTTCTTCTCACACCGTCGTCACTTTCTTCTTTGCTTTTCTTCTCTCTGTCATCGCTGTCTCTGACTGACTTGTCTTCCTCCTTCTTCCTTTTTGCTTTTCCGTCGTTTTTCTCCGCCGGATTTTTCTCTCCTCCTTTGTTTCGCCGTAAAGGCAAAATTTTGTTTCCTGAACTCAAAATTAAGTTCCTGAAGATCGGGTTCTGGTCTTTTTCCATCTCGGAGAAGCCTCTTTAGATCTGGGCAAGCACTGCCATCTTCAAAAGTTTTACCTTTTTTTCTCTTTCTCTATCTCTCTTCACCAACTGGGGTTGGTTACGGGTTTAATTGATGGTTTCCGCGGCGGCTAGGACCTCGTGGGCTCTTGTTTTTAGATGATGAACGGTCCTTCGTGTAAGGATCGAAGAGGTTGGTGCTCTTCTGCTCTATTTTTCACATGGAATGGCAGATCTTGTGACCTATAGTAATGCCGACCACAACGTTGAACAGGTTCTTCTGCTCTGTCTCTCTCTCATCTTCACTACCGTTCGTCACTTCGATTTTGCTCAGTTTGTTCTAAGCAGTAGAAAGCTCAAATCTTTGATCGATAGTTGTAATCAAGGAGCTTTATAATTTGAACCCAAGTTAGAAAATTTGGGATTTTGTTTGTTCAAATTCCAGCAAAGTCTCTGTCAAAGAGTTTATAGCTGGATTTAGAATCCGAGCTAGGGGTTTATTTGTTTCTGTTTCCATCAGCTTTCGTGTAATTTGTCCTTTGATAATTATGGTTTTTGATACTTTCATTTGAAGTGATCGTTGAGACTCATTACTTGGTGATGCAAAGGAATATGCAGTCGTAAACGTATCCCACGCGGTTCTTGTTAAACTTATCCTCTATGTTTGGCAGGCATTGATTACATTGAAGAAGGGTACTCAACTTTTGAAATATGGTCGCAAAGGGAAGCCTAAGTTTTACCCTTTTAGACTGTCTACTGTGAGTTGCTTTCTGCTCCAATCACTTGTTTTTTTTTACTTGTTTGTTGGATTATTGCTTCATCTGATAAACGGGTGTTGGTTGTGCAGGATGAAAAATCTTTGATCTGGATATCGAGTAGTGGTGAGAAGCGACTGAAGTTAGCGTCTGTATCTAAAATTGTACCTGGGCAAAGAACTGTAAGATATCTTCATTTTATATACGGTCTTTATGATGAATATTCCATATAGTATGGCGAATTCCGCTTGCCTTTCAAGCTTCTATATAATAAACTGTTTCATCTTTTGCATCAGGCTGTTTTCCAGCGATATCTTCGCCCAGAGAAAGATTACTTATCCTTTTCTCTCTTATACAACGGAAAAAAGAAGTCTCTTGACTTGGTTAGTCATCGTGAAACTGATATTTGGACAATAGTTTCAGCATCTCTTGACAATAACTCCAGGCATAACAGTTCACTTCTTATTAGATTTGTAAGGACAAAGTTGAGGCTGAGATTTGGATTGGAGGCCTGAAAACATTAATATCGACTGGGCAAGGTGGGCGCTCAAAAATTGATGGCTGGAGTGGCGGAGGCCTTTCCGTTGATGTAAGTACTCTGGAAAGGACTCTGTGTATACCGTTTTTCTAATCATTTTTCTTAGGACTCCTTTTTGCCAAATATATATATATTGATTTATCAAATGGGTCACAAACAATGTCTTGGTCTGTTGAACTCATCGGTTGATCCTGTCAGATTCCATTTGGGTGTTTAATGCGTTTGTTTGTTTTCTATCTATTTCAGGCCAGCAGAGACTTGACATCAAGCAGTCCAAGTAGCAGTTCTGCTAGTGCTTCACGGGGTCACAGCTCTCCTGGGACTCCCTTTAATTTTGATCCAGTTGCTTCTCCTAAGAGTGTTGAGCCTGAGGTTCCTCCAACTGACACAGAGAAATCACATGTTGCATTGGACAACAAAAATATGCAAACAAAGGTATCTGGTTCAGATGGTTTTCGGGTTAGTGTCTCTAGTGCCCAAAGTAGTTCTAGTCATGGTTCTGCAGCAGATGACTCTGATGCTCTAGGTGACGTTTACATTTGGGGTGAGGTTATATGTGACAATGTTGTTAAGGTTGGGATTGATAAGAATGCAAGTTATCTGACCACAAGAACGGATGTCCTTGTGCCGAAGCCATTGGAGTCGAATATTGTCTTGGATGTTCATCAAATTGCATGTGGTGTCAGGCATGCTGCATTTGTGACAAGGCAAGGTGAAATTTTTACTTGGGGTGAAGAATCTGGAGGAAGACTGGGTCATGGTATTGGGAAAGATGTTTTTCATCCCCGTCTTGTTGAATCTCTCACAGCCACTTCATCTGTTGACTTTGTTGCTTGTGGAGAATTCCACACTTGTGCTGTTACACTGGCTGGAGAGCTCTATACCTGGGGTGACGGTACACATAACGTCGGGCTTCTTGGGCATGGCTCTGATATCAGTCACTGGATACCAAAGAGAATTGCCGGTTGTCTAGAGGGGCTTCATGTGGCTTCGGTAACTTGTGGACCATGGCACACCGCTTTAATAACATCATATGGGAGGCTTTTTACATTTGGAGATGGAACATTTGGTGTCTTAGGGCACGGTGACAGGGAAACAGTTCAGTATCCAAGAGAAGTTGAATCTCTATCAGGATTGAGAACGATTGCGGTTTCATGTGGAGTTTGGCACACTGCTGCTGTTGTTGAAATCATTGTCACACAGTCAAACTCAAGTTCTGTATCATCTGGAAAATTGTTCACATGGGGTGATGGAGACAAAAACCGTCTCGGACATGGTGACAAGGATCCTCGGCTTAAACCAACGTGTGTGCCTGCATTAATTGATTACAACTTTCACAAAATTGCATGTGGACACAGTTTGACAGTTGGTTTGACAACGTCTGGACAAGTGTTCACTATGGGGAGTACAGTTTATGGTCAACTTGGAAATTTACAGACTGACGGAAAATTACCGTGTTTGGTGGAAGACAAGCTTGCAAGTGAATTTGTCGAGGAGATCTCCTGCGGGGCATATCACGTGGCGGCCTTAACATCTAGAAATGAAGTTTACACATGGGGTAAAGGAGCCAATGGTAGATTAGGGCATGGTGATCTGGAGGATCGAAAAGTACCAACTCTTGTGGAAGCTTTGAAGGATAGGCACGTAAAGTACATTGCTTGCGGATCAAATTACACTGCAGCCATATGTCTGCACAAATGGGTCTCTGGTGCTGAGCAGTCTCAGTGTTCAACCTGTAGACTTGCTTTTGGGTTTACACGGAAAAGACATAACTGTTACAATTGTGGACTTGTGCACTGTCATTCATGCAGTTCAAAAAAAGCATTCCGAGCTGCATTGGCCCCAAGCGCGGGAAGACTATATCGTGTCTGCGATTCTTGTTATGTTAAGCTCAGCAAAGTGTCTGAGATAAACGATACTAACAGAAGGAACAGTGTTGTGCCTCGTCTTTCAGGGGAGAACAAAGACAGATTAGATAAATCTGAAATAAGATTAGCTAAATTTGGTACATCCAATATGGACTTAATTAAGCAATTGGATAGTAAAGCGGCCAAACAAGGAAAGAAAACTGACACTTTTTCACTCGGTCGCAACTCTCAGCTGCCTTCTTTGTTGCAGCTGAAAGATGCTGTGCAGTCTAATATAGGCGATATGCGAAGAGCTACTCCAAAGTTAGCTCCGGCTCCATCAGGTATTAGCTCTCGGTCAGTGTCACCTTTCTCTAGGAGATCTAGTCCTCCCCGCTCTGCCACTCCTATGCCTTCAACTTCTGGGCTCTATTTTCCCGTCGGTATAGCAGATAATATGAAAAAAACCAATGAAATTCTGAACCAGGAGATTGTTAAGTTACGAACACAGGTATACATTCTCTGAGAAGGGACTCATGCTTCTTAGTTTGTTCTTCTATGTTCATTAATGTGAGTCTAATTAAAATCATGGATTTGGTTTAGGTTGACAGTCTAACTCAAAAATGTGAACTCCAAGAAGTAGAGCTTCAGAACTCTGTAAAGAAGACACAGGAAGCCTTAGCATTGGCAGAGGAGGAATCTGCCAAATCAAGAGCCGCGAAAGAGGCAATCAAGTCGCTCATAGCGCAGGTATAATCGGTTTGATACATTTGTGAACTACATTGAAGCTTGAATTAAAACTGAATTTTACTCACACAAGCTAACTCAACTGGAAAATTTGGCTATATTTGCTTTTGTAACAGCTCAAAGATGTAGCTGAGAAGTTGCCTCCTGGTGAGAGTCTAAAACTCGCCTGCCTTCAAAACGGATTTGACCAGAACGGTTTCCATTTCCCTGAAGAAAATGGTTTCCATCCTTCAAGGTCGGAATCAATGAGTTCATCTATATCTTCAGTTGCACCTTTTGACTTTGCCTTTGCAAATGCATCTTGGTCTAATCTCCAATCACCAAAGCAAACGCCTAGAGCCAGCGAAAGAAACAACAATGCTTGTCCAGCAGACCCACGGCTTAGCAGCAGCGGGTCAGTAATCAGTGAGAGAAACGAGCCTTTCCAGTTCCAGAACAACAGCGACAATGGTTCGAGCCAAACAGGAGTTAACAATACTAACCAGGTAGAAGCAGAGTGGATTGAACAGTACGAGCCAGGCGTGTATATAACCCTTGTCGCCCTCCACGATGGAACTAGAGATTTACGAAGAGTCCGCTTCAGGTTAAAATTTGCTCATACGCTTGAATCTAGAGATTCCATATTTTTACTATAAGGTTTGATGATGCTAAAGGTTGTGATTGTTTTTCTTTCTTGCAGCCGAAGAAGATTTGGGGAACATCAAGCTGAGACATGGTGGTCGGAGAATCGGGAAAAAGTGTATGAGAAATATAATGTAAGAGTGTCGGAAAAAGCAACGGCTTCGCAAACGCATAGAGACAGAGAGGAAGAAGAAGAAGACATTCTTCAGTAGTAGACTCATAAGATAATAACATGTGTATGATTTTGCCCCATAGTTTTCAGTTTCTCTATGTTTTGCCCCAAAACTCTTCATTGTTCAACTTAACTCCTTTTTCTTTTCTTTCTCTATCTCGATTCAATGTGTGAGATTAATTTTCATGTCCTTTACATGTATGTTGTATATATATAGACCATCGGTTCTCGGATTACTTTAGGAAGGAAAAAAACATTTTAAGTATCGAATTTGCGTAATGAAGGTCATGTTTTTGTCTTTTCAAATTGAAATAATTTTGATTTTTGTGATTAATTGACTAACGATAACCATTAGGTGTACCTAATTCTGTGACCAAAGGTGACAATGTGTTGCCAAAATTTTAGGTTTTACATTTTTAAAATTCTCATTATTTATAGTATTCATTTGTATTACCATTTTAGACATTACAATTATTCACCTGTAAAATTTAATACATATTATCTACCAACTTGTTGTTGACTCTTGTAAGGCAATAACTAAAAAGTGTATACTAAAAGAGTCAAATTTTACTCTTTATCATTTACAAAAAAATGACAGTGATGGCAAAATCATACTAAAAAAAATGACAAGTTACTTCGTCTGATGACATGAAATTTCATATGAAAACGATCTCTACTTATTTACGATTTTCCCATTGTATCATCTTGGCACATAGTAGTTTAAAGATTTTTTTTTTTTTTTTAACTATCACTTAATATTTTCCTTTTGGAAAATCAACCAATTACAAAAAAAACTACATAATATCAATAGTTTCGAAATATCAAATACATCTACAATTTGCATAGAAACTTCTAAAACATCTTATATAGTGAAACAAAATAAAAACTTTAAAACAGCCTATATAATGAATTAGAGGGAGTAATTGATTGGTTGAAATAAGATCGACACTAGTTTTTTTTTTCCCTTTGGTTACAAATGTTAAGATAACTAGTTATGGTTGGTTGGTCGTTGCTAATAAATGCTTTATTTGCTCTCACTATAAAATTTCAAAGTCCTCGTTGAATAATCAAACCAAAACTAGAAAAAATTAACACCATTAATCATCACCTCAGGTCCAGACTCAGCAGGAGTACACCATTAAACATATATGAAATTACGCCCAAAACCGCAGATTTGAATGAATGCCTCAACAAAGTAGCAAATATACCACCATTTTTGAGAAAGACTTTCTCATGGGAAGAGATCCAATCCCTTTGAGCTATCAAAAACTTTCTCTGTTCTTCAAAAGTTTTAAAGGAATGTTCTATAACAGACGAAAACATAAGTATATACTTCATAAGTTACATCATATGTCACGAATATATATGCCGTATATCGATGACCTCACGCTCAGAAATTAAGGCATCATTTATGGTGTGACTTCATTTATGAAAGTTTTATATAGTGTCTCCACTCTCCAGGTCACATGTAAATACAGTATGTCAGTACGTACTCCCAAGAAAAATTCTAGTTGACCGTTATGATGTATTTTCTCCATTCCATATAATTGTTGTTTTAACATTTACAACAGAAAGCCATAAACATATTACAATTCCAATATTCCATTACACTTTTGAATCTTGGTATTTACATAAATGGTACTGGAACATATTTAGTATTTTTCTTTTGCACAATACTGGCAAATCCTTGTTTTTTGAAATATTCTGGTACATATTCGTTGGTGATCTAATTTAATAACGCGAGTAAGATATCCTGCCGCTTACCAAACATTAAAGGCTTCTTCTCGATTTAATAAAAGGATAAAACATAGATGTTTTGTGATAGAATAAAGAAGGTACATTAACGTAATGATGCATTACAATTATTCAGTCATGAGTTCATATATTGAATACATACAAACTATAATACAAGTAGGGTTAAGATAAATGGGCGTGCGTCCAAAAATAGCTCGACCTTGAGTTGGTTCCTAGATGGAATTAGTGGCTGCAATAATTAATTCCTACCCACAAAGAACTTTCTTAATTTAAGAGAAGAAAAACACAAAGGGATCGCAAGAAGATAAACATGACTAGCTAGATCTCTATGTTATCATGCATATATAGATGTATATATATATATATGTGTATATGTTTAAGTATCTTGTAGATAAAGATCATGGACATCTATGGGTATTAGTACTCTGTAAACCGTAGACGTTGTGTTTCCTGGAAGGCGCAGAAGGTGGAATTGGCAATGTCTTGGGCAAAAATCCTGAGAAACTTTCTGGAGGATAATCATCATCAATGAAACCTTGATTCTGATGATGATGATGGGGATTAGGCCTTCTCACCTTGAAAAATCTTTGTGGTCTTGATGATGATGAGTGTCTTCTTAAGCTCTCGGCTTCACAAATCCTCCATGAGAACACCATCATAATTACCACTAGAATCATCATTGCTTCTATACGTTTGTTGCCCATTATTATTAAGTGGTAAGTATACTATGAAGCTTGCTTTCAGAAAACAGGTGAGAGGGGAAGATGAAGAAAAACAGAAACTAAGTGTTCTTCTTTTAAGGTGAGTATTGGGGGGACTGGTTGATATTATAAGAAAAATAATTGTACTAACTATCATATAATACTATATATATTGATATAAAGTTGGGTATACAGGGGTCTTGATTATGATCTTTCTTACCGAAATAACCTCTAACCTTATAATCCTGTTCTTTTGAACATATAAAAGGAATTAGTTTGACATTTTTTCATATATTAAGTTTGTTTTAATTAAAGTCAATCTTTTGATTCTTAGTTATGATATATTTTCTGTTTTGTTGTTCATTGAAAACTAGAAAAGCTTGGGTTTCTACAAAAACATATATCATAAACTCTCCAGCAAAATATTATTCCTTTTCAATAGGAAATAAAACAGACTAACTAAATTGTATGAATCGAGACTTATTGGGATTTTTATTATTATGCCTTATGTATAGGTCCACATATTAAGCATAAGCATAAATGGGCAACTTTAATGTTTTATAGTATAAACTATTACTACTAATTAATTAATATAAATGCAAATTCGGTGTACTTTAATTAGAAAGAGGAATTGCTTGATTAAAGGCATGAAAGATTGTGTTGTCTAGAGGTGGGAGTGGGTAAGATGTGTTATACTTTTGAACGGGTCTTTAGGGGATCAGGGGATTCCTATACAGTAAATGTGTTCATATGTGTAAAATATGATGGTCTTCTGGTTTTGTAATTGCTAGTGGCAGCAATTAACAATAACTTTGAACTATAGATTTTTATTGTTTGTTTTATAGTAGTTAAGTAACAAATATAATTTGGTTGTTACTAGTAAACATACATTGCTAAACCATCAACCACAAAACAAAATATGATTTATACACGGAAATTTATCATCATTATTGAACCAAAAACTACAAAACAAATATAATTTGGTTGTTACTTGTTAGTCACATCCATATATACATTTTTGGATGACTTTTAGCAAATAAATCCTGGAGTTGGAATGTATTTACAAACAATGCCATTAGAGTTAATTCTTAAGATTTGAAAAAATTAATTAAAGATATTATTCTAAAGATCGTTCCTCAAATCTCCTCCAACTAATTACTTTAAAAATCTCGATAATAACTATTCCGTGATTTACTGTAATCTTCAAATATATTTGGTATGATTTCTCATAATGAAAGATCCATCATTAATTGCAATAATAAATAAAAACAATAATTTCCTTTTATTTTAAAAACTTTCTAACGACAAATGTATTGCAAAATAAATAATTTCCTAAAACAATTACAGAACCTAATAACTGTTGTAGACTTTTTAGGAAAATAATTACGTAAATATATAACTTAAAGATAACAATTACTCATCAAATCTTTTTTTTTTGTTAATATTGTATCATAACAAGACCTAAATCAATGGACTACTTATTTTCTATATATAAGTGAGGTTATTTAGTCATCAAATCAATGTGCATGGTTCCACTCTCGCCGTCCCTCAGCTCTGCAAATCATTTGCTTCATTTTCTACATGTCTTGGACTAAGGTTCTTCCTATTCTTCTTTGATTTGAATCACGTACATCTCTTTTTTTTTTTTTTTGATAAATCACTCACTTTTATCTTTCTATGGCTTTATGTTTGATAGCCTCACGTTGAATTGAGGAGCTTCCCAGTGTATTCAGAAACTGGTCCTTCTACGTTACCTTAATCTACATATTTTTGTGTTTAGACAAATGAGGAAATGATTCTGATTTTTATTGTTTTGGTATATTGGTTCATGTTTGAGTGTGAAAATATTTGCAGGGTTAACCATAATCCGTTGTAGCTTCTTAATATTGATTTGGAGATGCTCTTAGTATTGATTTGAAAATTTTCTTTGGTTTGTTTACTAAAAAATATTTAGTGGTTTACCATCAAATGAAAAAATCATGTGATAAAATAACCTTTATAGATTAATTAATCTATATTTATCAATTTTTTGAGTAAATCATTTTCTAAATATATTTATTTTAATGTAGATTAGTTAAATTATGGTTACTATTCGTTATTTGACAAACTCATTTGGCTATATTACTTATTTTAAACCAAACTCATTTTGGCAATAAATAATGTTTATTTATAAATTAGATTAACCCCCAAAAAATTATTACCAAATATATAAAGATTATTTATGTCTAAAGAATAATATGTTGCTTTAGATTATTATTATTTATAAGGTTTCAAATATTATAAATATTTTAACCTTATAAGAAGTATAAATTAATAATATTTAAAGTATCTATAATATTTAATTCCATAAAAAGTTTATAATATTAATAATATTTGAACACTATAAAATTATAAATATTTATACTATGGAACCACTTAAAAGCAAACTTTTAAATTGACTCGAATTATATGTTTTCTAAACAAATGTGTTATTAAAAAAAAATGATGTTTAATTTCACGGGACGAGGTTATATGGTGGGACGGGTTTAGATCGATAATAATACCGGAAGATATACCACGGGTTAAAATCCTAGAAATAATAATCAAAATTCAATATATAATCTTAAACACTAAACAAAACAAATAATATTAACAAAATAATTACAACTTAAAATTAAAAACTTTTTAGTTAAAAAGTCGACCCGCGGTGTACCGCGGGTTAAAATCTAGTGTCTATACATTTTTTGTATCTATTTGGCATATGTATGAAATTAACATATAGATTTGGCATATGCACGAAATTTCATTACAGTGAATGTGAAAGATATAGTAAAAATCTTTTTCGGTTAAAGAAAATTCAATTGACATTAAATGCATTGTGAGGAACATGGAAATAAAGTAAAAACAAAAAGAAAAAGGAGGAAAACATATAAAGAAAAGAACATGGATTGAAATAATAAATACTATGATAGGAAAGATACGTGGGGTAGACACCACACTAATATGTTTGAAATTTTTTAACTTACAAAATGAAAATACTACTGAGCCCTACCCGCATCGGTCCTTCTTCTATTATATCTCCATGATAAAAAATCTCTTCTTTTGTTTTAGGAACATCGATTAAGTTGTAATATGTATCAAGTGTTTAGTTTTTATTTGAAAATGAAAAAAAAATTGGAGCACTAAACAATCCAAATATGAAATTAAACCCTGATCTTAGTTTTAAATATGGGAATGCATGCATAATGCATGTTCTAATGAAAATAAAAAGTCTAAAAGTCAAATCAGACATTTTTTCAACTATCTGACATCTCTTCGTCTCACGTATACTAATATACTATAATAAATGACCATTCTTACCCATTAAAGATAGAAATTAATTACGCAAACTATATGTATACACAGAGACAGAGTCGATAGTTCTTTCAATTCTTTCGGCTAACGCAAAATTCGGCTCATAAATAAGCGACCAAGAGATACGCTCAGTTTCACCGACAAAACCCTTACACACATATCTACTTGCCTTACATTACCAGAATAGTCGAATAGAGTATTTTTTCTTGTCGATGTTCATATTTATACGACTGACAAAAGTAAAATGGGATAAATATTATTGAATACAAAATAAATCAAATAAAGTTGCAAGCATTATTATACTCAAGCTCACTAAACAAAAAGGAGGAAATGCAAAAGAAAGAAAGAAAAAAAGATCAAAGTGGACCTTGGTTTGCCGACAGAGCTGATGACATATGCAATAAGAAAAGACATGTTACGGAGTATTAAATATTGTTGGATAGATTCAGGTAGTCCTACTTTTTTATTTATTGGGTCTCGCATTTAATATCATTTTTTGTTTTTTGGTATAAACACATTTAATATCATATGGTTGCTAAAGTAGGCCCTTTGGAAATTTCCAAATCCACAGGAAAAACATTTAATTACGAAATGCCCGACAGTTTTTTTTTTTTTTCTTGCTTTTTCTTTCTCATATAAAAACTTCAACATAGACATATGTGAGATCATGCTAACCCTAACCGTCACCGATATCAAAGCTTTGCCTCTCTGCTCGTATCTCAATTAAGCTTTAAGGAGTTCGAGTCCTTCCCTTCTGATAGTGGTATAAAAATACAAGGCACGCGTGTACGTATTTTTCATCTAGTTTTGTATGATTTTCATGTTTGGGTATATATCTTGTTCATTTCATTTTGTGGTGATCATGATATGTTATACGGAATTCCGATTGAAATCACCAACTATTTAGCTATATTTATAAATATATACACAAAATTTATTTAATTCATATACATATATGCTTAATTGAATTTGACATATGTTAAAAACTTAAAATCAATATATTCTTTTGCTCAACTAGAATCAACTAAAAACTTAAAATCAATATGTTATACGGAAGTCCAATTGAAATCACCAACTATTTAGCTATGTACTGTAAGTTGAATTATATTTAACCACATTGTATTTATTTGTTTATTTTTGCTTGTTAAAATGGGTCTGAAGAATCATGGACCGAGACATGTACATATCTCTCCGTCGAAAACTCATCATAATCCCAACTATACTAGAACTCAAGTGCGCAAAAAAAAAAAAAAACTTTTCTTGGAGAGGTCCCTGCCTTTCACCGTTGCCAATTGCTAGTTTGCAAAACACATTTAATTTTATATAACGGTCTACTAGACCTAATTACAAAGATTGTAACATCCCTCAAATAAACCTATATCGAACATAACAGAGGCAACACATGACGGGCCTCGACATTAATGGGCTTTCGTGGATAAGTTTTCTTCTAACATCTTAATGGTGACTATCCCAAAAACAGAAAAACAAGAAAAAAGAATACATAAATATCATTATACATTATACAAACTGCAACATATTATAACACGGATCTCATAAACTTTTCATTCTCCAGCAAATGATGAACAATATATGAAGAGTAGCCCATATATATCACCTTAATTTAATTAATTTGATAATAGTTTCTTTCATTGTAACCAAATTGAGACTCTCCGGGAGGACCGCGGCAATAAGGTGGCTCGAGACATTCCTTAGGAACAGGAGCGTAAATAGGTGGAGCGTACGAATTAGACGGCGTATCTGCAACACAGTCCTACCTTATTAATTCTATATTGATAAAAAAGAATGATATATACAGAGCTGTAATTAATATTTCATAACTGTATATACGATATGTCATGTTATGAACGGCAACATACCAGTAAAAACAACTCGAGCATGGGAGATTATGAAAAGAGCCAAGAATGAGAAAAGCATCATCATAAGGACCTTCGATGAACTTGGCGTTTTAGCCATTAAACAAATATCTTTCTCTTATTTTTATCTTTTTTTTCTACAAGTTAGATTTGGAAAGAGCCGAGTCATGTGAACTTAGGTGATTGGTTGATATTAATAGAGTCTACTACAGTATGTTAAGAACACATTTGCTAAATTTACAATAATATCCTCCGTCCTTGCCAATCGTCGCGACTCGCGAGGGTCCTCATCAAGAGGCCCGCCCAACCATTGTCTCTCCTCAAAGAGAAACTGACAAACTATGATTAAAACTCTAAAAACTTTTTTAAATGAAAAAATGAAAAGATGTTGTCCACAATTTCTACTTTTCCGGGCAAATAAGTAATAAGTTATTTATTCAATTTTCTCAATCTGGTTGTCCATCCACATGACTATTTAGACCTTGTGGTGTCTTTTGTCTATTTACAGTCACATACTTATCTGATAAATTTTATAAATTATCTAACTGATTTTACATGAAATATAGATAACTTGTTTGTTTTCGTCCGCATAACTTTTCATTGACCGGTATTGACTGACTATTGAGCGTCTGTTCATGAAATTTACATTGAACATAGAGTTCTGTCCGTATACTTGACATTAATAGCTTTTCAAGAGAGGCCATTAATGGAGCTCGATCATGTACACTCGGAAACCCATAAAGTGGTGATTCTCGTAATATATAATTAAAGGTAAGTACGAGTGTAAATATGTTTTTTTTTTTGTTTCTTTTGAATGAAAAGTGTAAATATGTTTTTATAGTATATGGGCATTTAATTTTTGAAATTTGAGTTTGATTGGTGACCTTAGATCTCATCTCAATATTCATAATTTCATTCGATCTCGATGTGGTTTTGGTCGAATTTGATCTCGTCTATATCCAATAATTATGGTGACAAAAAAAAAAAACAGAGCCAGCATACATTAGGCCATCTGGAAGCAGTGTTCAAGAAAGCGCTAGGCGCTAAGCGGGCGGTGACTCAGTGCCTAGCGCCTAGAACGCCTAATCGGGGCCTAGGCGATTTTTAGGCGGTTTAGACGTTTATAACATAATATATTATAAATATGATATTATATATAAAAGTTATATAAAATATTAATATAAAACTAAAAATTATGAAATTATAAACAAGAACTAGATAAAATATTTATTTATTTTTTATATTAAACAATATATGAATATTTATAACTATATATATATATATAAATAAAACTCTAATTGAAATTGAAAAAATACATTAAACAAGATCTATGTAATTTTAGGCGGTCAAGGCGGTTATCTAGACGTCGAATGAGAGCCTAGCGCCTAGTCGGGGCCTAGACGACCGCCTAGACCGCTTTTTAGAACAGAGTCTGGAAGCAACAATGAGAGTTTCTCAAAAACAAAAAAAAAATTAATATTTTAATTATTGAAATACAATTTAGAGAAAATTAACATCCATGCCACATTTGGTTCAATTTTTTTTTTCTACCACATTGCATGCCCATTGCCATTTATCACTCATACCACAATTACTGTGTATAATGACCGTTTTGCCCTTCTTTTTGTGTGCTCAAACTTCGAGGACAAAATTCATTGTTTAAGCACATAAAAGGAAGTTTACATACAGTTGTCCCCGAAGTTTGAGTCTTCCACAATTTCATTTTATTTTTGCATGTTAGCTGGTTTTTATCCCTCGATTTTAATTTATTGTTCTTCGATTTTAGTTCTCCTAAATTCTAATTGCGGTCTTTTCATTTTGTTTGATGTTTATATTTCGTTTGATTATTGTCCCCGAATAGGTTTATTGTCCCCAAGATACTTGTCATGTCTCCCAAATATTTGTTCCTAAATGTTGCACTTTATCTGCCACATCACCTGAGGACAAAACCGTATTTTTTATACCACAATACCACATGAATGTGGTATGAGTGGAAATTTTTTATCAAATATGGTAGAAATGGAAAGGTTTTGGTCAAATGTGATAGAATTGATCAAATTCTCTACAATTTAATTGTTATTTAATATTATATTATAACATGGATATATCATATATCTCCCAATCTTTTTATTCTCCACCAAATAATGATGAAAATATATAAAGACACACCCATACATCACCTTAATAAATTTATTTGATTATAATTCATGTGACCAAGTTGAAACTCTCATGGACGGCAAGGAGGTAGGAAACAAGCACGGTACCCAGATCCTGGGGGAGGGCCGCCATATGGCGTACCTGCAATACAAGTCCTAATCATATTTATAATAATACTATTGATACAATGCGATGATATATATACACGGACTATGGAGCTGTAAAAACAGTAAAATTAGATAATAACACGTGAGATTACATATTATTCATAAATGGAAACGTACCTGGAAGTGATTGAGCATGGGAGATTATGAAAAGCGCCAAGAATGAGAAAATAATTATCACAAGGAGCTTCGATGAACTTGGCATCTTAGCCGATGAATAAATCTCTCTTTTATTATTTTTTTTTTTTTTCTCTTACAAGACCTCGAAAGGTCTGTAATATGGGTGATTAGTATATTTATAGACTCCATAGTCTGTAATATGGGTTAGAATCACAATCTGTAAAATTACAAGAATACTCTTCAGTCCTTCGCGATCAGAGGGTCAGACTGCTTAAACATCAGACCAAAAAGATAAATGTGGTGTTTCGATTAGCACTATATTGGGGATATATCTTTAATCAAGTGATTAAGTTCATTTGACTCCATCTTCCCCACCGGAGTTCGACTCCACTAAGTCGCGTTACTCCGCGTAGTAGAGATTGACTATGGATCGGACCTTGTGAATCCAAAGATGTCAAACAAAAAAAAGATTAGCACTATATTTTGTGGCCTAAAACTAAAACAAGTGTTTTACTTCATTATGGACGGGCCGGACCTGAGCACGGCAAATACATCATCGTGCAATCTTTTTATTTTCTAGTAAATAGTGATTAAAATATGAGAATTTTAGGTGTGAGGGCATTTTTTAAATTTGTATTTAGAATACCATGTGTAACTAACTCGTAAATTTGATTCATTCAACATATATTATATCATCAATAAATCTTATATACTTTCCATGCGTATTAATATATTGTAGATAGATAAACTTTTATTGTTACAGAAATCAGAAAGCACAGCCAAGATCATCGAGCAATCTTTTATTCTCTAGCAAATAGCGACAAAAATATAGATATCAAACCTTATTCTATGTTACTATGTAATATGTATTTAAAGAAAACAAAAAAAATGTATTTAAGGAATATTCTTGTTTATTTCATGTGTGATAATGTGGGTAATTAGTATTTATAGACCTTTGTCTACTTATCATATGGGTCGAAAACAAAATTTAATGATATATTGATATTTCACAGAATGTGCATAACCCTACGCATTTAAGTATACTCCGGCGTACACGCTTATGGAAATATTTGTTTTCAACTCCAATATTTTACGTTATGTTCGAGTGTGAGCAAAAAACCAAAACAAATTCCATCTTAAAAAAAAAAAAGGTGTAGATAATCATTACAATCAACAAAATTTTTTTTTTCAATGGTAAGCTTGTTTGAAAATAAACATGCAATAGAAACAAATGCAAACTAACAAATAAGCGAATATTTTATGGTTTAAAATCACATTAAATTTTAAGAAGGCGACTAATCATTCAAAATGGGTATAACAACTTTTCTATAACAATTCAAGTATATATGAAATGTCAATCCCATACTGGAATAGTAGCGGAGTAAACATATTAATTAGACTTAGATTTCTCTGTGCTTTATTTCTTTCGAGTGACTTATTTGCTCGGTCTTGTGGTGCAAGAAGACTTTGAAATAATGTTCTTTTAAATTAACCAATCTTATTTTCTTTATCAAAAAATATGAACAGTTTGAATCAATTTGCTAACTTCTGTTATATCAAGGACAATTTTCTCATTAATGTTGTCAAAAGTGTCAATTTCTTATCTATTTATACTAAATCAATAGTCACTTTAATGAAAACTGCAATACTCTCTATTTGACATGTGACAAAACTCCCAAATTTTGCTCTTTCACTTTCGTAATCTAATTCTATTATTTTTGAAAAAAAATTAGAAAAAAATACACAAAATCTTACCACTTTCTTAGCAACCACTCATTCTCTACACGATCTCAAAATTATCACTTTTCCAAACTTTCTCCCACTTAAATTGAAAAAACCATCATAATGAAAAAACCACCGTAATAAAAAAACAAAAAAAAAATCTAAATTGAAAACAAAAATATTCTAAGATCTGATTTTCTTCGTAATCCACGATCTCTAACACAACTTTTCACTTTCGGCAACTCACTTTCTTCAAATATTAAAGTTAAAAATATTTAGATAATACTAGTAATATATCATTTCAGAAGCTGTTAAAACTTGCTGTAATTAATAGCTTTCACTTGAATTTGAGTTTAAATCTTGCTGGTGTACTATTTGTAAGGGTTTTCGTTGCGTCAATAATAGGTTGAGATTTTCTGGAACATTACTAAAGTTGGGGTCTCACTAAAGAAATTTGAGACATTTTAGTCATTTTTCAAAAGTACAACGAGGAATTCTTCACTTTTTGTTTTACTTACAATACTAATGTGATTAAGGTTTCGATTTTTTTTTGTTGACAGCGGTTTTGAATTATTATTGAGCCTGAATTTGCTCATCCGAATACATGTTACTTACCTTTTTTCAATAAAATTTGCACTAAGATTAGCTAGAAGATGCCAAAGTCGATCCGAACACTCGTATATACATATACAAAATCCAATAATATATATATTTCTAACCATATAAAAACCAACCATAATTTGTACAATTATTTCAAGATATGTTTGCTGTATATACATAGTTATTTAGTTATATTCATACATAATCTCTAGATCTTATTGAAGGTACAGTTGCGTTTAAAATGACAACCTCGAAGTATACCACTAGATTTTTTGGTTAGGTGAGCATCCTGAGACTCAAGGAATTTACAGATACATCTTCTTGATTGCCTAAATTTGTTACAACATGCTCCGCCTTGGTGAGGTTCCCCAGCACCTCCGTATACATGTGTATTGATGCAATGTCTAACTTCAGGTAGGCATTCTTGTGGCATTGGCATCCTATACTTATTACAATTGGGTTTAGAATAATGACAACCACTAAGTACACCATTAGCACCTTTGCTTAGCTTAGGATCATAGGACGAAAGGAATTTACACACACATGATACTGAGTTCCTAAATTTCTGACAACATGCCCCGCGGTATGTAGGTGCCCCGGCGGCTCCGTATATATGCTTATTGACGCAATCTCTAACTTCCGGTTTGCATACTTGTGGCATTGGCGTGGGCACCACCTTCACAGGTTCATCGGGCTTCTTAGGAATCACCACAATTGCCGGACCGGTGTCACCGCCACCCGAAGGCTTGCCGCCTGAAGCCCCACCCCTATAACCGGTGCCAACATTACTCCCATCCCTAATGCTGCCGCCGCTAGGGATATTTCCACCCCTATAGCCGGGGCCAGCATTCCCACCACCACCAAAATAGCCGCTTCCAATACCACCAGGATTCCCACTACCAACAAAGCCGCCGCCGCCGCCCCTGCCGGAGACTTTAATCGGAGCCGGAAATGATGTCAAGAGTATGATGACGGAAATGAGCATCAATGGAATGATCTCCATGTCTAATGAATTAGTCGAGCTGGTCAAGATGAATTTGCTTTCATTTGTAGAAATGATCTCTGCTTTATTTGACGGGTCTTTAACTAAAATAGGAAATTGTAATCAATGGTTCCTACAAAACATGCAAAATGGGAATTGATTCCTATAAAGAAGGGACGATGGTAATACGTTTATCTAGATTATTAGTTTCAACTAAACGAATAAATCGGCTCGAACAATGAATTTTTTAGTTATAGATATAAATAAATTAGCAAAGAATATAGATATAGAAACCAAACAAAGTATTTATAGTTGATTCAGTAGTTATAGTATTTTAAAGCTGTGTCGGTTGAGTGTGAAGTTAGACAAGTAAAACGTATGGTTGTTGGTATTGTCGGATACTATCTCTAAAATTTTCGCTCATTATTTGACAAATAAGGCACACTCTAATATCATCATCACTCTCTGAAAACCAAAAAAAAAAACATGTAAAGAAAATGAAAAAAAACTTGAATGGTAAAGCCACAAGCAAATGACTCAAAGCGACCTATTGTTGGGCTTGGAGGACCTGGTTTTGGCGAACTCAACCAGGTCTTTGAAAAGCAAATCCTCTGGTTTCTCTTCTTTCTTCGGTTCACTAGTTGTCAAAGCAAGGTTCCGGGTCAGTCCCTCGTAAGAGGAATCTGAGCCGCTACTCGAGTGGTGATGCTCAAAGAACTGTTGCCTCTGGTTGTGCCTTGAAGGCGGAGGTGGAAGATTCCTAATTACCTCAGAGGATTTGCTTTGTGGACTTGCATCATCGAAAACAGGAGAAGAAGAAGCATGAGGAGGCTTCTTTACTCCCTGCGAGGAGGAGCCTTGAGGTTTATAGACATCCCCACTAAGGAAATCCACCATACCCGAATCACTACCATGTACTGGTCTCATTGTAGGTGGTGGTGGTGGTCTGAAATCTCTTGAAGACCTTTAGAGATTGAATTTACAAAGTTAAAAGTGTCGAAAAAGATCATATATAGCCTTCCAAATAGGAATCATCATTATTACCTGTGAGCAAGCCGAGCAAACTCATCATCTGATTCGTCATCTTCAACATCATGATTGATGTTGGCAATCTGAACTGGAGGAGGAGCTCTAGTATTCCTTCCATTTGAAGGAACAGAGCTGACCTTTGCGATATCATCGTGACGCTGAAGAACACGCTGCAAATTATCGTTTAATGCCAATCCCTGACACAGAAGTTCCTCATCTCTGGAGAATTCAAAACGACCTTTCAGCATCAAATGGGGATGAAAGGATGATGCAAGTAACAGAAACTTACGTTGTAGTGTTCACAAGAGTCATTACACGTCTTTGATAAGTACGACATTGCTCAACTAAGTCAACTATAACTTCTTCTTTTAAACTCTGTAACAACACATCAAGACGAAGTAGCAGCTTCCATTACTTGAAAGAAAACCAGCAGTTTCTTCTATTCATTATGCATTAGAGTAAGCAAAATTCCTACCTCGGGATTCCCGGGATCAAGTGCTCCAAGCATGTCCATCAAAACATCAACTGATCCCTCAGCGCTTTGAATCTCTTCCAAGCTAAAAAAAACTCAACAAAACTATAAGACTCCACCACCCATCCAAAAGAAAAAGAGCACCACCATCTATTCTACTAGAAGAGAGTACCTGAGGCTAGAAGCAACATCTCCTTGCAACGACGCCTGAATAGCAGCATCATCATCTGGCTGAGTCTGCGGTGGAGTAAAGAACGACAGACTGCTTTCCGTTCGAGGTGGAAACTCAATTCCAGCAGACTAAAGTTATCAAAATGTAAAACCATTTTGTCAAAACGTATTAATAGATGAATAAAAAGACCTTATCACATGTTTAACATACCCTGAGATCGTTATAGGCATTGTAGTATTGTGGGTATCGACCTCCACGTCCACCAAAAGCTTCTTGCCATGTGTCTAACAAACTTAGTATCTTTTCCCTCACATTCAGGTCCGGCTGCGAAATTATGTTAGGAAACTTACAAGGTAAGAGAGATACCAATGGAGAAATTTGAGATATTAGAGGCAGGTGAGGTGAAATTATAGCAACACCTTTTTCTTCACTAGTTTGACCATGTCTATCAAAATATCACGGTCAATGAAAAGCTGGTACACATTTTCGCCACAATTCTTACTTAAAGTTTCCAATGCCTGCCCCAAAAACCGACAATGAGGTAAACAAAAACATGAAACCAAAACAAAGCATTGAATCCAAGAATGGAGAAACCAGTACTCACATAAAGTGCAAGAATCTGGACTTTAGAGTTTTTACTTCCTAACCGCTTCTTGAGCACTTTCACAGCTTCTTTTGCTTGACTAAGGACTCAAACAATGCCAAACTATTCATTTCCAGCCACAATCTGAGAGTTTTCTGATTACAAGAAATATATGTATCAAGGATTATACCTAGGATCCATGTTGATAATATCACACAATTCAATGTTAATAGCCCAATCTGGACCAATCAGCATATCATTTGTAGCCCTTTCTGCACACGCAGCAGCGTCATTTGCCATCTTAACAACTCTTATCAATCAAATCCCACAAGTTTCCAAATTTCCTATAAGCACAAATGAAGACACCATAATCACTTTAGTCCACAAGCAAAATTCAAAGACTTTTCAAAGCTTAAAAAAAAACACTAAGCACATCTCATTAGAAAGATTGCAACAGAACAAGAAGAAAAATGTTGTAAAATTCAATAATAGAAAACAAACCCATGAACAATTAAAGCCAGGAATTCAAAAAAAAAAAAAAAAAAAAAGCCAGGAATTCAATAAGCTCACAAGTATTAGTCTTTCCGGTGATTGTGATTACGCAGAACCAGAAAGTAAAACAGCTACTAGCAAGGAAAGAACTCGAAGGGTAAGACAACTTAGAACCAAGACTTTGAGATTCGAACCAAAAAGAGACAAAAGCAAAGATCTTTTACCTTGTCAAGTGACCTAAGAACCAAAAACAAGAGCAAGCCAGGTTTTGTAAAATCTCAAGATTTAAAGAAGATGAAACAATTTAAAGGGTTTATCGAAAAACTATCAAACACGGTAAGGATTTTTCAGGTGTCAGGTCAAGTCGCCGTCCTAGAATCAACTGCTGACTAATCAAAGTTGCAAACTTGTGTTTTGGGTTTTGTTTCACTTTTTGCTAATGTCACCGTCGGTGATATTAAGACAAAGTCACCGTCGACTACTAAAATAATACTATTTGTGTCGTAATTTAAACCATCATTAGGGAAGCATTTGTGGTTACAAGATGAAACGGCGTCGCTTTCCCTATAGGTTTTTCGTCGTTGACTTGTGTGCTAAAATAAAATAAGAGCGTTTTCTAAACGCAAAAGAAAACGCGTTTACACGAGAAGATGATAATCTCACACAAGGTCCACAATGAAGACCAAACTCTATCATCAACCTCACCAGAAAAAGAACAGAGACACATTAAAGGGACTCACTCTTCTTGAACTTGAAGTGAAGGCAAAGATTACTTATTGAGTAGTGAATCAAGTACATAAGATTCAAAAAACATAAAAATTTGATATTTATTGATGAGCATTGGTACACTATTATTAATGGTTTATGTTAGCAAACGCTGAAGTATCTATGTACATAGCATTATCAAGAACTCACTCTATAGATAGATACATTGCATAGACTTACAAAAAGAAAGACTCAAGAAACATAGGAGAGAACTACAAGAAGAAGAAAAAGATAGAATCTTTGTGGTACATTGAAGACGTTGTTCATGTCATCTTCATCGTTCACGGATTTATAGACTCCACTAAATGTGGCTCGAGTTATATGAACCGGTTAGTCTTCTTAGCCAAAGAAGTGAATAACCAACCAACCATTGAAGAACTTTTCATTTCAATCTCGTAGATGTACATTCCAGAGGAAAGATAAGCATCCCCTGTTTTCATCCCTGTATTAAGAGATCCCACAATTTAAACATTAAGAACACCAAAAGTTCTAGAGATGGCACAAGAGATTGTGTAACGGAATTAGGAAACATAGACAGAGAGACTTAGGCATGAATCTAGCCACAGCACAGGATTCTCAGACATAATCTTTGGTAAAAAAGTCTAAAACTTGAGGTCAAAATCTCGTGCAACCAACGCAACTAAATTGACCATTTCCATGACCATTAACTTCAAACCCACCAACAAGAAAAACGACCAATTTCACAAACTCTTGACACGATTCACATGATGGAGAGAGAAGAGTATCACAAAACAATTCACACTCTAGGAAATTATCAAGAAAAACAAAAGCTCACAAAAAGCAAATCCAAGAACTAGATGCGAAATACGTCTACGGATTCTTAAATAAATTTTGGCTATTGGCTCTAATCGTATAATGAACAAAGCTACAAAAACCTTATAACTTTTCAGAGTTTATGCATACCTTAGACTGTTTCGACTTCGATCACTATTACTTCTACTGCTACTACCACCACTGCTCTTTGAGCTCCCACTGTTGATCCTTGAGACAACACTTTGACTCCTACGCGATTCTGACAATCCATCCTTCCACCAATCTTTATCCTCTCGTTTCATCGAAACATCAGAGATCGAAGGTCTTGGAGAAGAGATCCAAGACTTTTTACTTGTCACAGAAGAATCATATTCTTCATCATCATCTTTCTTCTTCGTCTTTTTCTTAGCACCCAAGCTAACAGGAAACACCAATTTCAGAAGAAACCCACTGTTATTTACACCTCCGTTTCGAATCGGATCCACCCATTTATCACTCTTCGTCTTCCTCACGACTTTACTCGGTCTTTTATTTCTCTGAGGCATTTCATCGAACACCTTCCCTTCCTTCTCTTCCTCCGTGTTAACCTCAACGAGATCCTTCAACGAAAGCTCGTAACACGACTCGGGCATCTTACTAACCATATCCATGAGCTCACGCTGACCACGAGCGATGACTTGAGCCTTCGAAACAGGTGAGAGATTCTGGTAATTGTTGTGCAGGTGAGGAGGACTTTTCGGTGGACTTGTTCTCCACAGAGGAGGCGAACAGACGCCGGAATCTGGATGATCATCGAAAGCTCTGGGAAAATTCAAATGGGTATTGAACGATTTCGACGAAAGATCAAAGATTGCCATGATTTTACTTTTTTGAAGGAACCAAAAAAAAATAAAAATCAAGTTTTTAGAATTGAGAGAAGCTTTTTTGAGTCTTCTTGTTCACAACTCTCCCCGTTAAACACGCCTTTCGCATCAACATTGTATAATTTCTACAATTTATAAGATTTGTTTTATTATATTGGAAATTCTAGAATTAAATAAATAAATTGTTTTAAATTTAGGGTATTATTGTAATTTGGTTTATATATGATGATTAGCTTATATGAATTTATTAATTATCACGGAAAGCGTGCGACGGAGATAATCTAAGCCATTGATTATTTTATTACTAATAAGATAAGATACGTATATTATATGATCGTTTTTGTTTTATTTTCAGCACCAAAATAGTCATTTAGTATCATTTACTTTGGGGCTTAAATTACTCGTCCCTACTTGTTTACCACTAACTAGGATATGACCCGCGGTACACCGCGGGTTAATTATTTGATTTTTTTATTTTTATAAATTGATGAATTTATTGTGTATAATATTTTTTGTTGTATACCGCGGGTCACATGCGTTGTATCTAAAATAAAAAATTTTAAGTTGTATTTGTTTTGTTTAGTGTTTAAGATTGTATAATTGTATTTTGATTTGTTATTTATAGGATTTCACCTGTGATATATTGTCTCGTATTAATATTGACCCAAACCCGTCTAACCATATAATCTAAAATGAAATTAAACACCATTTTGTTATATTTTTAATAACACTTTTATTTAAATGTCATATAATTCGAGTTAATTTGAAATTTGCTTTCAAATAGTTTCCATGTATATTTTTAAATTAGTGTGTGTTTTTGGACCAACCCGTAAAAACAATTTATAATTGTATCTTAAAATACTAATTAGGATTTCACCCGTGATATACTGTCCCATTTTAGATAATTGTAACAATTAAAAAAAGATCCGAATGACTCAATTTCGGGTCTGAATAAAATAACGACATGATTAAATGCTCAATTTGTTCTTAAAAATGTTAATATAGATTACACACATATTTTTATTCGTCGATTGAGTAATATATGTCCGTTTTAAAAATTTTGAATTGTAACATATGCAGAAAAAAAAAACTAAAATTTACTAACTATTTATATATTTTATAATAATTTAAAATAATATAAATATAAGATCAAATAAAAGTGAAATAAGAATCATATATTTATGTTTAAATTAGGTAGAGAGGTTTTAGGAAATTAGTGCAAATTTGTTATATTAGCATTAAATCATCATATTTGATTTCTTTATCTATAAAAATAGTGGAGAATATACCATAAATAAAGCATTTAAATATAGTAATTAGTTGAGAAAGTATATATATTTTAGATTTTATTAATTATTTTCGTTTTTTAATTTTGCCAAAATTTAAGGAAAGATCCGATTGAAGATTTCCGGGTCAAAATTAAACAAATTTGACCCGATTTGGGTACCCCAAAATCTGCTGCAAAAATGTATAGTAGATAACACGATGGGGCTTATTAAATGCTCTCGCCGTCTCGAAAATCGTAGTGGAAATAAAAATTAAACAAGAAAATGTATTTCCTCTTTTTCTAATTTTGTTCTATCATTTTGTATAACTGGAAATCTGAATCCTTGCTAGTTGCTAGATTCGTCTACAATCCCGTAATGGGATCAAATACGGAATTTAAATAAAGGAAAGATAGTATGGACTAAAGGATGGCTCTATTATACTTTTTATAGATTATTTTGGTTCAAGTAATTTTGATGCTTTGTAGTATATAAAATGCGATAAAGAATTTTCCATGATGTAGAATAAAGCTTTTGATTGCAACATTTGTTTCTACTTTCTAGTAGTTTTAGAACTTAGAAGTTAGAAGAACTGGATTTTCTTCAGATAAAGTTGTTTCATCTGCCGTAATTTTTACTATGTATGGTAAATATAGAGGGTTTTTCTCTTTTGGACAATTATGAAGGACAAAAAGACAAACCCATTATACACGCTTCATAATTCTCCAACGTGTGTGTTAATCTAGACTATGAAGACGGAAGATCATTTATTTATTTCATCAGTTGATTTCAGTTCCATACCTTAAAGTCATATATGATAATTCCTTTTAAAAGGATCCGCTTCTTATACACAAGACTTCGGCCTAACATATCAGAAGTTTATTACATAAACTCGAAAAGGAAAAAAAAAAAAAAACTATCAGTTCATACAAACGGTAATATACAAATGTATGCCAGGAAAAGAAAATATGAACAATATAAAAACTAACTAAAATAGATACCTTATGAGTTATGATCGTAGTATAAATTGAAATCGCTATGAATGCTTCAATTGACAATCACGTCTAACCATATGATGACAATATTAGCAATAAATATAACATTAATAACAAATTTGCACACGTCCCTTCATTTTTTTGTTAAATGTCCACGTGTATTTGTCTTGTTGCTAGCGTTCACTATCTTCTCATGGTTCGTTTCTTCTTTATAAGACAACATTAAGACATTACGCATCCACCTACGCAGTGGCGGAGGTAGCATAGAAACATGGGGGTCAACTGACCCCGGTGAATTTTCAAAATCAAACTAATATTATGGCATATTTAAACAAATACATAGATATTTGATTAAATTCCTATAAATTGACCCCAGTGTCCAATATGAAAACTACTCTTTTGACCCCTTAAACCATAACTTTTTTAATATTACAAAATGATATAGACTATAACCACTAATTGTTATATATAAGTTTCTTTGTTTTTAATTTTATTATCATGTTTTAGACAAACCAAATGTTTTTTATAAATATCAGAATTTCATTTTTGTAAATGTAATAAAAAAAACATAAGCTATATGCAATATAATTTGAAGAAAAAAAACAACCACACTTTATTAAAATATTTTTTATATTTTGACCCCGGTAAATTTAAATTCTAGCTCCGCCACTGTCACCTACGTATGTTGCAGTCGGTCACCAGATATTTATTAATTTTTGTTTTTAAACATCTATTTTGTTCAAATTCGACTTTACTATTCTCAT